GGGGGGATGGAGACTAAAGAAGGCCGTTGCTTCCTGAAGTATGTCTGAAGCTGGTGCGGAGGTGATAATGGAATATCTGAGGTGCCTGTATAATCAAAACTGTGCAACAAGAAAATAGAAGGAGCTAGGAATTTCACAATATGTTCAAAAAAGGACACACTTTCAAGAAAGACTACATTACGAGAGATCCAAAGGGTCATAGCAAAGGAACCCCTTATGTTCAAAATTGTATCCCATGAAGGCACACAAAGCTGCTTGTATAGTTAACTTTGTGCATTCATGGGGTGGAAGGTGGACAAAACAAGCACAACCAAAAACCCTGAGCATGGATAGGTTTGGGGGTTTGTGAAAGAGAGATTGAAAAGGAGAGGAATTATTCAAAACAAACGACGAAAGACGATTTATGAGATACATAGCAATGCTGGCCACCTCCACCCAAAACCAATAGCGTACATGGGAATCCTGTAAAAGGGTTCTGACTACACTCAAGATGTGTCCATTTTTCCTTTTTACTACCTCATTTTGTCGTGGGATGGCCAGACAGGATTTTTGGGGTTGAATTCCATATTGTTTCAGGTAGTTCTAGAAATCCCCATCAATATACTCTCCCCCTGAATCCGATCTTAGCTCGCAGATTCTTGCATCAAATTGGGTAATTACATAGGTGTGAAAGTGTTTAAAAATAGTGTATACTTCAGATTTCTTTCAAAGAAAATAAGCCCAAGTAAAACAAGTATAGTCATCAATGAAGGTTACAAAGTACTTATATCCCAGCCGTAAAACAACTAGAGGCGACTAGACATCACTATGTATTAAATGAAAGGGAACGGTTGCATGCTCAGAATAAGAAGGAATGAGTAAAATATGACTCTTACATAAATCACAAGTAATACAATCTTTATTCATATTCTTAAAAGAAAAGCAAAAACAAGTAAACTAATATAAGCAAATAACTAATCAAGTTTCTTAGAAAAAGGATGGCCAAGGCGTCTATGCCACGGATGCCAATCATTATTGCCATTAAAAGATCTAGAACTATAAGTAATAGAAAGCAAACATGAAGTAGAAGCAGAAGTAGTCTTATTTTTCTCAAACTCCAAGGCAAAGAGTCTTCCCGGTCTACGCCCCTTCCCCTTCACCTCCCTAGTTTTCCGGTCCTGTATCAAACAACCATTAGAAATAAATGAGACATTATTAACTTTCTCTATAAATTGGCCAATAGAAATCAAATTGGTGGTGAGTTTAGGTACAAATAAAATTTTGGATAAATGAAACGAAGATGATTTAGAGGTAGATAAATACAAATCATCACAACAAAGTATGTTAAGTTTCTCACCGTTTGCAGTAATAATATGTCTATTGAGAGGATGGGGTTTGGGATATTGACCAAGAGTAGCCCCTGTCATGTGGTTAGAGGATCCTACGTCTATATACCAGAGGTCGTTCGGTGAAGGGCAATAGGTTGGTGACTTAGCAGACAGACCAATAGCAATAAACGCTGAGGAGATGACCAAGGACATGAGCTATCAAATCCTTTCTTTAGACATGTTGTTGGAGGTATTGTTTTGGCCAGCTACAGAAGTGATAGAGGAGGAGTCATCTGAACCATCTATAATAGTCTGATAGGCCTTGTAGTTCCCTTTTTTCTAATTTGGACCACTACCTTTCTATGGCCAGGTAGGACATTCAGTGATGATATGGCCGACCTGCTTGCAATAGGTGCATGTGTTTTTATTCTTACAATGGGAGATAAAATGCCCGTACTTCTTGCATTCATAACACTGTATCTTAGAGAAATCCTTCTTCCCCTTTGGTTTAGTTGCCAAGAAGACAACATCAATGTTGGAGTCCTTCCTTCCATCCAGTGTAGTCTGAGTAGTCAATCTAGTTTTTACCCTCAAAATCTCCCCAAGAATAGTATCTAAGTCAGGAAGTGTTCCTCAGCTTAGGATATTAGATCAGACGACTTCAAATTTTGGCCTTAGATGCATTAGGAAATGCATAATTTTTCTCCTGTCGAAGTGTTCCTTCATGTATTTAACACAACAGTATGAAGGATCATCTCCCATGTGAGCTAACTCATATTCTATCCAAAGGTTAATGAACCAGGCATAGTATTCCTGGACCTTTCTATCTCCTTGATAGTAAGAAAAAATGTCAACCTCTACCTGATATTGTCTAGAGGTATTCGACTGTTGATAAACTTTCTCAAGGTATTGATACATCTAATAGGGTGTCTTGTACCCTCTCATAGGGATAGCAATATCAGTTTCAACTAAGCCTAGAATCCATGACACAATTTTTGTGTTGTCGATCTTCCACTGATTAAGTCCCTTAATGTCAGAGTTATTAGGTTTAGACACAGATCCATCTAGGTACCCCTAAAGACCCTTAGCTTTGACATGGAACTGAAAATTGAACTTCCATAGTGTGTAGTTTGTACCATTGAATTTAATAGGAAGAACATCCATCATTTCTGATGCCATCGAATAACAAAGGGAAACAACACACACTTCCAAAAACCAAAAGAAATTCGAACCAAAGAAGAAAAGAAGAATACCTTTCAGTTGATGTCCAAAAAAGGCAACTGCAGAGTTCTTCTGAACTGAAAAGTGGATCAAAACCCCTCAAAGACGAAACCAATCCAAACCAAACCAAGAAGATTCAATAGATTTGCTCTAGGCGACACCAGATCTAAAATTTCAGGCTGATCCGGTATCTCTATAGGGAGATATGAAAAAAGATTAAACCCAGTGGCGCAGTAGTCCAGAAAATAGATCTGTAAAGTTCAGATCTGTAGCCGGTCCAGGAAGAGAAGTAAAGAAAATACTCAAGAACTTCCAAATATTGTTAGGGAGTTCTTGAATTAGTGGCCAAGGTGCCGAGTGAAGTTCAGGTCGTGACCTGCTCTGATACCATGTCAGAGTCAGTTCGAAAGTCAGAAAAGAAAGAGAGAGACAGATAGAGAGAGAACAACCGAATGGTGGGTGTGACACCTTGTGTCAGTCAACACCCTAAAAGATATATTTATATTAAGTTTGTAAAAGGACAAATCTACCCTTAATGTATAGGAGAGAGATAATACAAATAATAGATATACAACAAAGAAAATTAAAAGTATAAAAATAGCCCTATGGCTAAATTTCACTGTCTCTACAACTTTAATGGATAGGAATTGTCCACAAACCTCTCTAATTGGTTGGGATTAGCCTTTATATTATGGGATGAGACATAGAGATATAGAGCAAGTACTCCATTGATCGTGTAGTTATTCTCGTTGGCCTACAAAATTAGTCCCATAAAGCCATGCATATACCACTTGGTCCCACATGAATTAAGATGGAACTAGTCCCATTTGACTAGAAACATTATAATATATATATAGAAAAGGGAAGAATACCTAGAAAAAAAATTAAGGGGTGGGATGAGGAAGGGGGAGAAGAGGAGAGACTAGACGAAATTGAGTGAACTTTGGGCTGGTGGGAAGATAAGGAGAGGGGGAGGAAGATGAAGTTTCTAGCTGGATAGTGAGGGGTTTAAGAGAAGGTAGGAGGGAGCAGAATGGGTGAAACATTAAATTTTTTATTTGATCTTTCAATACATACATACATACATACATACATACATACATACATACATACATACATAAGAACAATCAGTTCATTATTAGGTCCATTGGGTCAGACCCGATTGCCCTAAGAACAATCAGTTCATTTCTGGGTCTAAAATTACAGACCCTATTGGGTCCAGTTTGATTCCAAGTCCTTAGTAATTCTTGTCAAGTCAATTCCGATTCTACTTGGACTTGACTTGTTGACAACCCTATCTCTCTCTCTCTCCACTCCCACTATAATACTATTTTTAAATTTTCATTTATCTTTATTTTCAAGATTTGATTTATCTTCAACCACTCTCTCCTTGAACTTTTTATATTATTTACAAGATAATAAATGTTTTTAATATATTTTTAATTAATTAATTAAGTCTTCTAATTATGTTTCATCTAAGCAAGCCCCGAGTTGGGATTGAAGTATTGGATGGACTTTTAATATTATTTACAAGATAATAAATGTATTTAATATTTTTTAATTAATTAATTAAGTCTTCTAAATATGTTTCGTCTTGGCAAGCCCCGAGTTGGAATTGAAGTATTGGAAAGAAACCCAACTTGGAAACTTGTGGGCCTAATGCACACTCAAGCCTAGGGCCAGGTTTGAAGAAAAAACCTAGGCCCAAGCCTTGAATTCTTGAGTTAGGTCATTCTTAGGTTGGTTGGGCCCAAGCTTGGCTTGGAAATTTGTAAGCCTAATGTGATCTTGGGTTGCGCTAAAGTATTGAGCCAAAGCTTGGGCTAAAAATTTGTAGGGCCAGGCCTAGGCCAAGTCTAAACATCAAACTTAGGACTAAGCCGAGCCTTTTCATGTAAGTTTCTTTAATGTCTCAATCAAAATCCATGGAACAAAAGCTAACTAATATTTTAAAATATTCTCTCTCCTTTCACTCTCTTTCTCTCTCCAATAATTCAACTACTCCCTCCCATCCCTCC